AGCAGTGGTTCTCAACCTGTGTAATCTCAGGACCCACATTTGTCCTTGGCCGTTAAGTCGCGACCCAAGTCGCACTGCAATGGAATGCACGGCATTGGGTACCGCACGTTACGATGCGGGCGTGTGGGTGGGAGGTGCGTTTGGGGTACCCTTCAAATGAATGGCAACGCAACACACCTCCCACACCAGAATGCACGGTAGGTGAGATTGCATGGTACCGTGTGTTAATCGCACGGTACTAGTGTGAATGGGCCCTCAAAAACACTGACATACATGCACAACCACAGACACAATCTCACACACAGACAATGTAAAAAAATAAATTAAGATCCACCTAGTCTCCATACCTTCCGAGAACTGGAGAGGATCCTCAGCCTGGGGTCCAGTGTGGGCTGCTGTGCTGTGACGGAGCTCCATCCATATGTGCAGTGCTTGTACAGATCCCTTGTGTGCCCTGTAGAGGTCCCGGGAGCCAGAATGTGATGTCACTCCAGTCAAGGCACCTCCACAGGCAACATGAGGGAGCTGTAAGCAATGCACGTATTGATGGAGCTCCCTTGTGCCCATACCCCCCATCCCACCCCACCTCAAGCTGACACTTTGTGCCGGGCAACATATTTTGAATGGCCGTGTGGCGAGGGAACTGAAAGTGCTGCTCTAGGAGAAGGTTGAGGAGCCTCTCGCCTGGAAAAGTGGAAGACATGCCCGCGACCCACTGAACACAGGGTCGCGACCCACTTTTGGGTCACGACCCACCAGTTGAGAACCAAGGCTTTAAAGTATATCTAAAGACATTATTTCTCCACTTCCTTTAAGAGGGGGAAACCGCTGCACTAAAACCCCAACCAGGGTTGCTGCTCCCTCCTGCTAAGCTATTGAACTGTGCCCACCCTCCAGCCCTCTCTGTCCCTATCTAAATGCATTTGTTGATGTCTTTCCCAGGAGAACAATGCTGCTGCCATGACTCCCAATAGCAAGCTCCAATGCTGTGTGTAGGAAAAAGACTATTGGGAGATGTAGTTCTGGATGCATGCCTACATCTAAAGGAACTGGGCCTCTAAGCTAGAAGGGGAGAGGAAGGGAACTAGAAGGGGAGAAGAAGGGAAGTAGAAGTGGAGAGGAAGGGAAGTAGAAGGGGAGAGGAAGGGAACTAGAAGGGGAGAGGAAGGGAAGTAGAAAGGGAGAGGAAGGGAACTAGAAGGGGAGAGGAAGAGAGCTAGAAGGGGAGAGAAAGGGAACTAGAAGGGGAGAGGAAGAGAGTTAGAAGGGGAGAGGAAGGGAACTAGAAGGGGAGAGGAAGAGAGCTAGAAGGGGAGAGGAAGGGATCTAGAAGGGGAGAGGAAGTGAACTAGAAGGGGAGAGGGAGAGGAAGAGAACTAGAAGGGGAGAGGAAGAGAGCTAGAAGGGGAGGGGAAGGGAACTAGAAGGGGAGAGGAAGGGAAGTAGAAGAGGAGAGGAAGGGAAGTAGAAGAGGAGAGGAAGGGAACTAGAAGGGGAGAGGAACTGGGCCTCTAAGCTAGAAGGGGAGAGGAAGGTAACTAGAAGGGGAGAGGAAGGTAACTAGGAGGGGAGAGGAAGGGAGCTAGAAGGGGAGAGGAAAGGAGCTAGAAGGGGAGATGAAGGGAACTAGAAGGGGAGAGGAAGGGAACTAGAAGGGGAGAGGAAGGGAACTAGAAGGGGAGAGGAAGGGAACTAGAAGGGGAGAGGAAGGGAAGTAGAAGAGGAGAGGAAGGGATCTAGAAGCTGTATAAACACGGCGGCTTCCTATAGACCATTATTGAGGATTCCACCATCTGTTTTCGCTCTCAGCGCCGCTTGCTGTGCTCGGACGCTTCTCTCTTTTGACCTTGACTGCGTTCTTGCAGCATCCAGGTGGAAGTCTTTTAGAGGGCGTCATTACAATACGCAGGCAGGAAATAGAATGCTTACTGCACCGAAAAACTGACTTTGTGAGATCCTCAGTGTTGTGGGGTTCTATCCATAGACAGGGGACATGCCCTCTTAGTTGTCACCAGACCAGGTGTCCCCCTTTGGAAGATTTTCCTTCACCTCCTGCTCTGGTGACAACTGTAAAATGTTGGATGGCTGTGTCTCATTTAGGAGATTTCTCTTCACTTCCCATCCTGGAAACACAACCGGAAGTGAGTGGGGATCTCTTCAAAGTGAGAGGAAATACCCTCTTAGTTGTCACCAGGCCCGGTGGAAGATTTTCCTTCACCTCATGTTCTGGTGACAGCTGTAAAATGTTGGATTCCCGTGTCTCATTTAGGAGATTTAATCTTGGAAAAACAGGAAGTGAGTGGGGATCTCTTCAAACCCTTTTTGTTGTCACCAAGTCAGGTGTCCCCTCTGACTCTCCTGACTGTAAAAAATTGCAAGGCCGTGTCTCATTTAGGAGATTTCTCTTCACTTCCTGTCCCAGAAGTGAAGAGAAAAAGTCTACAAAGTGAGGGGTATTCCCCTCTTAGACAGTTGTCACCGGAACAGTGGAAGTTTTGCCAAATGACATTCACTTCCTGTGACGGTGACATAGGGGTCACCAGGACACAGAGGGTGAATCTCCCCGGTGGGGACACAGGCAGCAATAAAAGGGTTCTAACCCCTCCATACTCCATCCAGGACTACAGGGAGGTTTGTCCGCTATTCGGCTTTGGAGCAATCATCATGCTGAAGGTCCAGTTACAGTATCTCGGATCCTGGCCGGGGAATGGCTTGGAGATGAAGTCCGGTCATCCGTAATCATTCTTCTTCCAATAAAAGAAATGACATAAGACTGGAAAACGCTGCGAGAGAAAAGCCACATCACTTTTTCCTAAAATCCTCTCCCACAATCCATCAGCCGGGGGTCCCCGGTGACATCCGAGGGCCAAAATCCATCGCAGAGAAATAAACGCTCGCCTCCTGCCAAATCCTCGCAGTTGGGGGCTCCGGCAGACACACTGAGGCTCATCAAAAGTGGGCGTGGCTTGGCAGAGTACGCTGTGATTGGGAGAAGGGGGGATTTACATGAAGAGTGTCTGATCAGAGGGACTCATTACCATTTACCCAATTCTGCTCTGTACCCTAGGAGAACGCTGACAATGGGATTCAGATTATGCAGACTTTGTGTCATGGCCCCGCCCTAAAGGGTTGTCTCCATTTTGTAACTGAACACTTACCCACTCCCAACTGAGTGCTTACCCACTCCCAACTGAGCGCTTACCCACTCCCAACTGAGCACTTACCCATTCCCAACTGAGCGCTTACCCATTCCCAACTGAGCGCTTACCCACTCCCAACTGAGCACTTACCCACTTACAACTGAGCGCCTACCCAATCCCTATTGAGCGCTTACCCACTCCCAACTGAGCACTTACCCACTCCCAACTGAACACCTACTTACTCCCAACTGAACACCTATCCACTCCCAACTGAGCGCCTACCCACTCCCAGCTGAGCGCTTACCCATTCCCAACTGAGCACTTACCCACTACCAACTGAGCACTTACCCACTACCAACTGAGCGCTTACCCATTCCCAACTGAGCGCTTACCCACTCCCAGCTGAGCATGAGTAGAAAAGGCCTGGCCAGATCCCCGGGGATGGAAGATTACAGGAAGTGAATTGTTTCATAGCAGCTCCATTTAAACCTTCATTTCATACATTGTAACTGAGAAGTACAAGAAGATCACTTGTTCCCGGCCAAAGGACGAATCAGCAAACAGCTGACGCTGCAAACCAGCATGACCGGGAACTGGAACCAGCAGAAAAAACTAATTCTCTGATATAAATGCAAAATGTACGTCTGGAAGTTCCCTAAATCTTTACTGAACAGAGACGAATCCGAGAAGAAGAGGATGAAGATAAGAAACAGGAAGTGCAGACACTTCTCCTCATACACGTCCAATGATATCTGAGCAAACACGCAGCTAGACAAAGGAGTTCATGTTTATTGCCCTTCAGTTCCCCTTTAAAGGAAACTCATCCTAAAGGGCACAAGGGGGCTGCCATTGCTAACAATACGGGCTGCCATGTCGATCCTCCTGCTACCAAGCTTTAAGGAGAACAGCTGCTTGTGCTCGGAATAAGGCAGATATACTCACCTGATCCTCTGTCTTGCAGTGGTTGGCACTTACCTCTCTCCCCTTCCGCTAATCCCCTGCTCTCTAGTTTACCAACCCAGAAGAAGCATGCAGCTAGTGAAGTCAGAACTGCTGTTCCATGGCCAGTGGCTCAGCTACTGCTGTATCTTTTGGATCAACATGACGGCCAGACAATGAGCATTTCCCAAAGCGGAGCTCAGCAGTGACAGCCGGGTTTCCTTAAGCGATGTGTGTCGGAGGGGATGCTCCATTCTGCAGATACGGAGGGGAAGGGGTTCATGCTGATGTAGTTGGAGCATTCCATGCAATGTATATACGTTCCTGAAAGCAGTTAGGTAACTCGCTCGTTTTTTAAACTTTCTCCTGAACTTAAATAGAAGTCCATGGGGTCCAGGGGAAATGCCTTTCATTTAACTAGGTATAATCTGGATGAAGTCCCCCTCCAATGCTCTAAGCCATTTTGTTGTAGAATGACAGCAGGCACTTCCCTATTTATACCACCAGGTGGCAGCGTCTTCACAGAACAAGCACTGGTGCTCTGGCTTGACCATGAAATGTACTGGGAGCCTTTAAAGCAGCTCCACAATAATTTCACATGACGGTGTCCCTTTAATATTGTATTTATTATGGATTACAGGCATTTATATAGCACCAATAAATTACATTGTGCTTTACATACAGTCCCTGTCCCAAAGGAGCTGACAATCTAACATCCCTAGATCACATGCATACATATATGGGCTAATTTAGACATGAGGCCTTTAACCTACCAGTGAAAGGAAACCCAGCTGGGATCTGAACTGAGGACCCCAGTGCTGCAAGGCAAAAGAGCTAACCACTATGGGGTCTATTTATAACCGATTCACAAAACCATTCACCCCCCTGTGAGTCTTTCTGAATATTCGTTCTGTGTGAATAGATACCAAACTAATGTCCTTCGATATAGTTTCTTTTCAGGTTGAATGTATATAATGTAATTTTGTACTATGGCCACTAGATGGCGGTGAGGAGCATAGGAAATATGTATTATTATTATGGCCACTAGAGGGAGCTGAGGAGCATAGGGAAAAAGTATTATTATTATGGCCACTAGATGGAGCTGAGGAACATAGGCAATAAGTATTATTATCCTGGCCACTAGAGGGAGCTGAGGAGCATAGGGAATAAGTATTATCATTATGGCCACTAGAGGGAGCTGATGAGCATAGGAAATATGTATTATTAATATGGCCACTAGATGGAGCTGAGGAACATAGGCAATGAGTATTATTATCCTGACCACTAGAGGGAGCTGAGGAGCATAGGGAATAAGTATTATTATCCTGGCCACTAGATGGAGCTGAGAAGCATAGGGAATAAGTATTATTATGGCCACTAGAGGGAGCTGAGAAGCATAGGGAATAAGTATTATTATTATGGCCACTAGAGGGAGCTGAGGAGCTCTGCAGAACTTCTGTTTTGCAGCAGACTGCCTTGTCTCAGGAATGGATACATGGTGTCTGTGTATAGGTTTGTATAGGTTTGTAACCTGAGCCAGCACTACAGGAAGAGGCCCTGAGCTGCAAAGGGAAGTTCTCCCCAAGCATGAGAAGACATGAGGATTTAAAAGGAAGAGCAGCAAAGAGAAGGGAAACTACCATGGATTACAGTAAGGCGCACATTACAGTATTGGTTTATGTTAAAAAATCTGAGGGTTTAATGTCACTTTAAGTTCGGTTTCCTCTGAGCGTTCCCATGCCACCTCAGTGACACACGGTAACCTTTCATAATGAGCACACTTAGACCCCCGGTGTGAGGAGTCCTGTGGCTCATTCCTCTATGGATGCAAATGTGTTCACAGCCAGGTGTCAACGAGGAGTAATTGGCTCCTGTGAGCGGATGTGACGGCGCTAAGCGGCAAATAAACCGGCGGACTTTGTCTGGAGAACCTGCGAAAAATCAATGTGCTCTGAAGCCATAAATAGGTGAGTGATGGATGGCAGTGTGTGCCTTGGACCTGGAAACTGGAGGCAAGCCGGCAAACACAAAGACTGACCTGGACGTACACCACCCGCACACAAAGACTGACCTGGACGTACACCACCCGCACACAAAGACTGACCTGGACGCACACCACCCGCACACAAAGACTGACCTGGACGTACACCACCCGCACACAAAGACTGACCTGGACGTACACCACCCGCACACAAAGACTGACCTGGACGCACACCACCCGCACATAAAGACTGACCTGGACGTACATAACCCGCACATAAAGACTGACCTGGACGTACACCACCCGCACACAAAGACTGACCTGACCTGCGGTTTTTTTCACACATTAACCTGCGTTGGGTTAAAGCAGCCCCTCCGAATGAACGGACTACCAAGGCACCATAAACTCTCAGAAAAGGGACGTGCGTCATTTTTGGTGACTCGGTACACCACAATGTGCGGCGCTGGGGTGCCATGAAAACGAGTGGCGTTGCGATGCGCGAGTTAATGTGTTTTGGCCCCAACGCTTGCACAATCCTGTTCCTGCCCCGTGATGGGCCGTATAAATCTCTGCAATTGCTAAAATCTGTTACCGGCAATATACTGCAGCTGCTGGCGGGGCCCCGTGCGTGCGCCGAATCCCAGTACATCACTGCACATCTAATCTCCCATCATGCTTTACTACCTGCGTTATGGCTCCTGACAGGCCCCCTCTTCCTCGCCTCCATCCCCTTGACAGGAGCCTAACATGCTTCCCGTGTATAAAATTCCTGCACCGGCGGGGGGGGGGAGGTGCGGCTTAGAGCGTCACGGGCCACTGACAGGTCTGAGGTTTAGGAATGTTCTAATGAAGTAATTACCCGAACCTCGATCTGTCAGAGGTCGGAGGCGGAGGGAAGTGGATGAAAGGGCCTGGAATCCGGCCTACGAGGGCGCACCTGTTCCTACACGCACACCAGCTTTCACCTAAGGGGTGCCAATCCGCATTCCTCAGGCTCGGGATTAGGCCGCGCGCGGAGCAGAAATTTGGATCTGCAAAGCTGGAAAGGATATTATGTGTAAATGTCATTATTTTAAAGTCTGTTCAAATCTCCAGCTTTCCTAAAAATAATCCCTTGTTCAGGCGCTTCCTGTTCTGGGCTGACAACCGTCTCCCCATTGTTTCTTGGGTTGTCACATGTGCCCCTGGTAAGGGCTGACATTACGCAGCAGCCGTCCACCCTTGGTGAAGCCGGGGCAGAGCAACTGCATGCAGCTGGCGCTGGAGCGCATGCAGACAGGAAGTGGCTGAATAAGGCTGCAGTAGATCAGAAGCACTCAGTATGTTCCCGACACAGCCATACACACAACAGGGGCAAGTTGGGTGAAAGCTCGACTATCTACTACAATGTCTTCAGCTGTGGAAGGAAAGGCAGCTGAAGGAAACTCAGGGTGATGTTGCTATTGCCAATCAAACCGAAGACCCCGATGCCACAAGGTGTTGACCACTTAGCCGCCACACTGGCCAAAATGAAGAGAACATCCGGATATTGTTGCTTTTGCCTACTTTCCTTATAATAAAGGAGAAGCCAGTGTGCCAATGTGTACATTATGGACACTAGAGGGAGCTTTTCCCAGCTCGAATGTATTGTGTTGTAATAATACATTATGGCCACCAGATGGAGCTGAGGAGTCCAGGACATACATACTTATTTCTTATGCTCCATCTAGTGGCCGCATTGTAATATGACAACGCTACATTCAAAATAGGAAAAGCGCCATCTAGTGGCCATAATAATAATACTTATTGCCTATGCTACTCAGCTCCATCTAGTGGCCATAATGTAATACTACAACACTGCATTTGAACTGGGGAAACCGCCATCTAGCATCTAGTGGCCACAATGATAATAATAGATATTTCCTATGCTCATCACTGCCATCTAGTGGCCATAATAATAATACTTTTAACCCCATGCTCTTCAACGCCGTCTAGTGGCAAGGATAATAATACTTGTTCCCTATGCTCTTCAGCGCCATCTAGTGGCTATAATAATACTTTTTCCCCATGTTCTTCACCACCATCTAGTGGGCAGGATAATATTACTTGTTCCCTATGCTCCTCAGCTTCATCTAGTGGCCAGGTTAATAATACTTGTCCCTTATGCTGTTCAGCGCTATCAAGTGTCCATAAAATACTTTTTCACCATGCTCTTCAGCACCATCTAGTGGCCATAACAATCATACTTATTCCCTATGCTCCCCAGCTCTATCTAGTGGCCATAACCATCATACTTATTCCCTATGCTCCCCAGCTCCATCTAGTGGCCATATTAATAATACTTATTCCCTATGCTCCTCAGCAGAGAGGTCTGCCACTATCTGCCCAAAATGAACGATTCACAGTTCTTCACAGGGGGCCGAATTGTTTATAAATGGGCCCCTTAGTGTTTGTGCTCACCTTCTCTAATACCGTGTGCTGGATCAGAATAATGGGAATAATATTTTTTTTTCCTGGTCCAGACCAGAGCTTTGGAAATCTGCCACGCACAGGAGCCAAAATGCATGTCCCCAGAACTGACACGGACAGGGAAGCTCCTCCAGGAAGAGTTTTGGTTCACCTAAAAATCGCAGTGATGTCATGTGATGTGTACCGCACGGCTATCCCAGCGCAATTAACACTAAGCCGGTTGGCCGATCGCCCGGCAGAACCCCGCCCACAGCCTATTTTAACCCTCCGATAGCCCTCATTGGGTGTACGTGACTCGATCTGGGAAGGATGGTGAGAGTGGAAAGGTCAGAGGTGACGTTTGGCGAGGTTTTATGTTCAGAGTGCGCTAGGTGTTTTCCCAGAATGCTTTGCCGGGGACAATACCTGTGTACATGTCACATACAATGGGCGCAGGGATTGTTTATACAGCTGCTCGGTGTGTTCGCTTCCCTATTCAAATAAACCCGGGCCTCCAAATCCTCAGCAATAATAAACAGCCGGCGCTGGGCCGGCCCTCGTACTGATGGATGGAGCTGTCGCCGCCATACACTGGTAATTGCTGTTGGGTAGAAACGTCCTCTGCAGAGGTCTGGAGAATGAGATTTGGGAAATGTAAGAGGGTCGGTTCAATACGGAACGGCAAAGGGCAGAGCTGGCCATACACTGATCAGGGTAAACTCTTGAATGCACCACTAAACAGCGGGCCTGGGGTAATCTCCTCTGCTGGGCTACTGTATTCTGATAGCAGCGGCTGTACCGCTGTCAGAATCCCCGAACAGTCACTGCAACTGATTGACACACATCTGGTAATCTCCTCTGCTGGGCTACTGTATTCTGATAGCAGAGGCTGTGCCACTGTCAGAATCCCCATACAGTCACTGAAGCTGATTGGCTGCACTCACTGTTCAGCTGTGAATTTTTGGACAAAAGTGATTGAAAAACTGAACAGAGGGGCCCATGCTGGGCCACACACTGCAACACACACAACTACAAATCCCACGAGGCATTGCAAGACTCTAAAAGCCACAGGTATGACTCCCAGAGGCAGATGCATGTTGGTATTTGTGGTCTCACCACAGCTGGAGGGCCGGAGTTTCCCTACCCCTGACACAGACCATGCTTGTTATCAGCCTGTGTATAACTGACAAAGCCAGAAGGAGAAAAGAAAAGGCGGAGCGTCCTTCCTCTTTCAGCAGTCTGGTCTGTCCTGTGTCTCCAATGTCTTGAGACTGCCCCCTGCTGGATGCAAGAGCATATATGACTGGTCTTTATTACAGGAGAGGGGGCGGAGACAAGACCAGTCATCCTGCACAGGAGAGAGAGCAGCAGTGAGCGGTCCTTATTACAGGAAGCTCCAAGTATCACACTGGATGACTGCACAGATCTGGAAGAAATACACGGAGCTCGCAGAGATTCCGGGAAGGACATACGTGACTCTTGTATGATGACAGCATTGGCTGATTCCGGGGTTCAGCTTCACCGGCACATTGCTGACCCCCCTCTATGGTGATTGTCTTTTTCCAGGCAGTGACACCCCACTGGTAATTTTTAGAAATGATATGACATGTTGACACGTAACTATTGTGTGCAGAGAGAAGGCAAATCGGGAACAGCTGCCGGTGGAATTCTTTTTCCGTCCTCTCCACTTTTTTTTTCTGCTCTTTGTATTATTTTACATTTTGGCAACTTTCCAAATCAAACTTCTATCAGCTGAACAGAATAACAAGCAGAGCGACCGGCCGATACAGCAAAAGGAAAACGAAGGCGCCAAGCGTGAGATATGAATTCATGTTAAAGGAGAACTATGAGATGAATGCTTTTCACTCACCTCATAGTTCTAGCCGACCTGTGACAATGAGACTGTCACAGGTCGGCTCAGTAGATCGGGAGGTGAGGGAACACATACCGGCGTTCGCTCACCTCTCGATCCTGTCACGTCTCTCTGCTGTGACAGGGGGAGGGGCTGGATTCCCCCCTCCCCGCTACGATCCACCAGCGCTGACTGGCGGAATGGATGGGGAGGGGGCGGGTAGAGCTGGCTCTGCCTCTAGATAGGCAGAGCCAGCTGTCACTCACGCAGCTGGGCGGATCCAGACATAATTGTCAGGATCCGCTTCAGCTGCGGCGTCTCAGTATACTGTATACTGAGCCTAGGGTGACGGGAGGACGCTAGTTTGTGTCCTCCCGTTACCCTAAGGAGAGCTATGGGGAAAAGACTTAACCCCATAGTTCTCCTTTAATGCAGCAAGTGACACTTCTTCCCGGTATTTATTACCTCTGAGAGATCACAGGACTCCCCAAGACAATGGGGATGGGAAACTGAGGAAATGCTTCCTCCTGCTTGCAGCAGACTGATCACGGGGAGGGGTGAGAAACTGCTTCCTCCTGCCTGCAGTAGACCGATGACATCACCTCAGCCTAGGAAAGTAACTGGATCGGACGTTTAATGAAGGGCAGAGATAATCACCCGCACACAATAGCTTTGCAATGAAATGTGATTTCACGGCATCAATTTGCGGTGATGCAGATATTACTGTGAGCGTTACCACAATGTCATAGCACCCCAACGCAGCGGCGACACCAGGGTAGGTGTTACCTGGTGCAACCACCGCATGCATGATGACATCCACGGTGTGACATTATCATGCATGTGCGAATGATGAACTTCACTACCGGCGGCCATCTTGGCCAACAAAGAGAGATGGGGATATTGGCTCAGCGCCAGCAGGATCTGGTATGTCGCCGGATCCCTTCCGCTCTCTCGTGCCACTGTCTGGCAGTGGCGTCACAGGGGTGGTGCGGGGGGTGAGGTCCGCACCCAGGTGACACCATTGGAGGGGTGACACCAAAATGACTGACAGTCATTTTGATGTCACCCCCTCTGAGAAGTCGGGCACTCGGTCATGGGCCGAGAGTTTCGGGAGAGAGGAGAGGACCCGGCGGCATACCTCATCCCGCCGGGTGACTGTCCCCTCCTCTCTCTGCCAGCGTCCTTCACCAAGATGGCCGCCGGCAGGTATCAATAGGGTCATGGCGCGTGCGTGATGACGTCACACCGGGGTGTTACCCGGTAAACGCTCCGGGTGACGCCTGGCCTCGGGGGGCCCTTGCTGTCTGGCTCTTGGGCCATGACCCCAACTTTTAAAAGGGGGTGCCACCAAAATCCCTGTCAGTCATAATGGTGTCACCAGTGGCGTAACAATCACCATAGCGACCCAGGCGGCCGTTATGGGGCCCCGGGCACAGGGGGGCCGGCCAGCACATCCCCCTGATGCCGTGCGGTCCGCCTGCGTCGCTATGGCATTTAAGGCTGCTGGCTGTCACTGGTGGCTGTGAGGATCACGCAGCCATTCACATGTGCAGCGGCGGGTACCTCCTCACAGCTGCTGAGTCAATGACAACCAGCAGCTTCGGGGTAGGTGTCTGGGCCCGTCGTCGGCAGCGATGGAGGAGGCGGGGCCCAGCGATCGAGGAGACAGGTCTTAGCGATGGGGAGGTGGGCCCGGCAATCGAGGAGGTGGGGAACAGTGACGGAGGAGGTGGGGCCCGCAAGCGATCGTGGAGGAGAAGGAGGCGGCCAGACAGGTAAGAGGGCTTGACCGCTCACCTGAGACCCTGCAGAGCTCACCATAGAGAGTCTATGGTGGGCTCTGCAGGGTCACCCTCAGGTGGGCTGTTTGGGTTATCAGGTAGACTTATCTAGAAATCACAGGGCCCCATACAAGATTTTGTTATGGGGCCCTGTGATTTCTAGTTACGCCAATGGGTGTCACCCACTCTGATGGTGTCACCCGGTGTGAGCCGCACCCCCCTTGTGAAGCCAATGCCCCAATGCACCTACCAATAAACTTGTGTGACAATGCATTACCATTCGTTGCATTGCACCGTGCTTCAATGCACATCTATCGGAAGGTGCGTTGGGATGCCATTTAGAATGCAGGGCAATGTATCCCAGCAATTATTATTATTATTATTATACAAGATTTATATAGCGCCAATAGTTTGCACAGCGCTTTACAATATATGCAATGCACTCAATGTCCCGTGTTATTGCAAACAGATGGAAAGAACGGAACCTTATTATAAATCTGTAGCTGCCACAGATACATCAGAAACAACGTCACGCAGAGTTGTCAAGCCAGTGACAGGTCCACTTTAGCATTCAAATTGGGGCCAGCGCGGCAAGACGGACAGCATTTCCATGTCAGATGCGTTTAGCCGCCTTGCCTGCTGTTTCCCCGAGGAAAGAAACGAATGCTTTCCATCCTTGTCTAGCTGACAGAGTATGTAATTCACAAATTCCGGAGCCCGGGCTCTCTGGGAA